ATCAGTAGGAGAGAGGAAGTGAGGCCGCCGAGCTTTGTGTGCTTGAATCTAGTCGGTGCTGTCGCGCGCGCACAGAGTCGTCATCGGCTAGGACGCAAAGATATCCATCAGATGGCGCATCTTCATCCAACTCGAAAAGAAAGAAAGCTAGTGATATTATTTACTTTGGAGGGAAGATGGTTGTGGAGAAAACAAACAAGGCCACTTCCGACCAAGCTCTAGTTGCCTGGATGATCACCAACAGCTTGACTTTTATTAGCTGCAGTGCCCAGCGCTTTTGGGTTTCGCGGGGCGGCAGGCACCGCTGCAGGTGCACCTTCCAGACGCCATGCACAGTGTTTGACATACAGTGTGTCGTCATATGTGTACTGTCTCACTGTCCAAATCTCCATTCGCCATCGTCATTTCCATTCACCCCTTGAACCACTCACCTTTCAGAAATTCCGGTCTTTCAGCTTGAGTCAATAAACTGTCCAATTCAATTGTACTATGCTATTCATCAAACATTTTCCCGGAGGCCGTTCGTTTTCAATACGACACTTAGAATCCGAAAGGTTGCAAAATGACACCCAAATATATGCGTGAAACCCCGTACTAGTCGAAAGCAGTAAAGACAGAAGCGAAGTTCAATCCATCCATTCATAGTAACCAAAATGGCAGTGATAAAGCTACATGGTTAGTTTCCCTGTTCCAGAGGCCAGCTTCGCCTCCTCATCAATACCGCTGTATTTGTTGATCCAGCCCAATACCTCCCGGTGCCACACGAGAGAGTTCTCTGGCTTTAATACCCACTATTGACAACGTCAGCTTTCATGTCACCATTTTGCGTATGCAAACCCCTTAGAAGGCTTATCAAACTCACATGGTTCTCGTCCGGGAACATGACAAGCTTGCTCGGGACGTTGCGGGCTTGCAACACATTGAACATTGCCAGGCCTTCCGAGATCGGGAGACGATAATCAAGTTCACTGTGGATGACCTAGTGCCAAGTGTCAGTATGGCCAGCTCGAAATTCAATCATTTTGATAACCCCGTGCGGCGCTACTTACCAGCTGCGGGGTAGCCCAGTTACGAAGGTGTCTTGACGGGTCCCATCTCTCATATCCCTCTCTATTCTCCCAAAGTGTACCGCCAAAGTCGTGTTCTGGGAAGAAGAGTTCTTCGGTGGACCACTGATTCAAAGTCGAAAATACGCCATCATGGCATACTAGCGCCTTGAACCTTCTACCAAGATCGTGGCCTTGGATCCAATCTTTGTTCGGCTCGGTTAGCCTTGAGTCTCGGTTTTCCTCACAACTACAATTGGAAGATGAGTGTGTTGGTAGATCTTTGAACTTACTGATCATATAGCCACCATACGATCCTCCCAAGGCTACCGCCCGGTTGGTGTCCACATACTCGACATTCTTCTCAATATGCTCGAAACATTTAACGAGGTCTTCATACGGATCACCACCCCAATTATTAGCAATGGCATCGGTGAAATCCTGGCCGTATCCCGTACTTCCCGTCGGGTTTGGGCAAACCACGACGTAGCCTTGCTCTGCAAAGATTGCCGGGTTCCATCGAGTACTCCAATCATCCGTCCATGCCGACTGTGGTCCGCCATGGATGAGGAACGCAAGGGGGTATTTCTTGGCCTTGTCGAAATGAGATGGTGTCATCACAAGAGCATGAACTTGGCCCCCGGCAGATCCGGTAAACCACAAATCTGAGCACTGAGATTGACTCAGTCCCAAAGTCTTCCCATGCTTTGAACTGGATGAGACCTCTTTGAGGGACAGAGTTTCGGTGTCAAGAATGGCGTAGCTGGAATTCTCCACTCGCGATTTGGTGCTGATGAGGAGGGATTTGCTGGATCCGAGGGGCTTTGCTTCGATAACAGTCCCGTTTTCGAAAATGGCTTGCGGAAGCTCGGTTGCGAGTAAGGGAGACGCAGGTAGCTTCCACAGCATCATCCTACCGTGTTTATCGGCCGCCACATACAGCTCTTTATCATCGTCGCTCCATGTGATCCAGTCAGGCCTAAGGTCCCAGCCACCCTTATCATCGTTCGTTTGATAAAACTCCTGAACATTACTGAGGTCGGTCACATCTGGAATCAGCAACAGCCTAGGTTTATCAGATTCATATTGGTCCGACTTCATACGAGAGAAGGCAATCTGCTTCCCGTCTTTGGAAAAAGTCGGGGACTGGGAGTACCCTCGTAAACGCCCAGTCTGGACGATTTGAGGTACAATGGGCTTTCTCAGTCCCTCGCTGTGGACTGGGATATAGTAGAGGTCTGTTTTTGTGTGCCTCGCAGCGTTCAATTCAGGATCTTTGGCAACAAATGCAATACCGGTGGTTGAAATATCAAAATCGCCAGTACCGCCGAATGGTGGCACGGGGCTGCTCAGTCGAGTGCCAGCCAGAATATTGGTGAGACCGGGCTGTGGCAACGACCATCGGCCGTTCTCCTTGGCCAGGATGCCGAACCAGAGAGAGCTCTGGATCTCATTTGTCCAGGCGTCCCAGTGTCGGGCGAAGAGCGATGTGTACACCTTGGCGGAAGATTGGGACTTGGCCTCGGCAGAGGGCCAGTACATCTCACCACTTGGAGTAGTTGGCGCGGAGCAGCACAAATAGGCCTTGGAGGAAGACAGCTGCTTGATCTTGGTGTTTGATATGTTCCCAGCAAAGAATTGTATCATGTACGGCCTTCTAGCGAAGCCGATATTAGCACTGCTCCGTCAAGTGAAGATGTTGCAGCCATGGGATCCAATTTGAGTTGGCAGGAATACTGACTCTGAGCTGGTCTCTGTCACCCGTTGAGCCATCAACGCGGTGCAGCCACGGTCGGTGGGCTTAAGGTAGGCAATCTCATCCTGGCTAATCCACACGGGATCGCTCGCAGCGGGGTTCTCAGAGATGAGGTGTGATGCGCCATCCTTAATGTTCAGGACTCTGATCTGGGATGTCTTGACGTGGGTCTCAAATGAGTATGTCGATACCTGCGGTCGGAGGTCAATCAAACGAGGCGCTGACAGAGCACGCGACCACACGAAGCAAAATCAAACGAAGGCCAATTTGCGATTTCAATCAAGGTTCCGGGGCGCTGAGGGGAATAAGAATGGAGCATAGACTTACAGTATACAAAAGCAAATTCCCGGTCGAGTTGGGAGTGCCAGCTGATCGGCGCGGGGCAGAGAGTAGCACCTCTGGGGTGAAATGTGTGGCCTTGATCGTCATCATGAAGGATTGAGCTTGGGCCAAGCCCAAGAAAGCTGGAGCTGAATCTGGGCGGCGGCCTTGCTTTGCAGGTGCACCCAATCCCTTTGCCAATGGGTGCAGCTGTTGGCTGTCCAGGCAGCTCGGTCGATATAGAGGCGGGTATTAGTAGATAGTAGTGGGATGGTGGTGTAAGTTAATGGCTACTAGTCACGATCCAGTCCGGGTTGGCGATGGGGAATCAGGCCAGCAGGGGGTTCAGAAATAGCCAGGGTGAAACTGGCATCAATCAAGGAGCAGAAGAAGGAAAAAGGGAATTGCCGATTGTAAAACCACTCGGTCTTGGGTGGTTCACTTATATGAGGGCAAGGAGGTAAGGAAAGCGGTGCAACAGGCATTCTATGACCAGTTTTACCTTCACTTCCCCTCTTCATCCCCTCACCTCAGCTCTGCCAACCCCGCATTCGCTTTAATGGTTGACTCAGAACGCGAACCTACATTGATGTGGATGGATCTGGAGAGATGACGCTTGTGCCGCCTGTCTTTGTGTCCTGTGTGTCCAGCTAGAACTTACTCGGGCAGTCAGTCGCTAGTTGAAGCAGCTCGTGAAGGCAGACCAGCGCATCTCTACATGTAGTACATACCTTAGCACCTAGTACACGGCCAGCCACTCACTGTTTTATGCCATGTACGGCCAGCACCTATTTCAACATCCTCCCCCCTTCACATGGTTTAGATAACGGGGATTGATTACCTGTCTGTACGGCCTAGAGGCCTAGACCAGGGGCCTTCCTCGGGCCAGACATGGGCAATAGCTGGAATGAGTCCGCCTTTTGATCCATCATCCCCGTATCTCCTCCCCCAGCAGAGGAGGTGTAGATCTTTACGGCTACCAAAATCCCACCACCATCAGCCCCTCACTTGTACACACAGCAGACAAGTAGTAGTTGGTCTTCAAATTGCCTCTTTTGTCCGTCCATCAACTCCTCCCACAACCCCGCTCCGAGTGCATGCGTCCCACCACCACCGCTACCACCTCAGCCATGATTCATGTCGTGGCCGCTTCTGCAAATGGCAATGTTTACCTTGACTTGTTGGATATCCCACTTCCAGATCCAGGGTGGCCCTCCCCTCCGTCCCTAATGGGCGACTTGACGTCCAGAAACGCCCGCCCTTCGCATTGAGCCTGCATGCCCAGGAGCCGACCTATCCTCGCATGCTTGGCCATCGCTATACTGGCACGATCTTCATCTTGATCTGCCGCCGAGGATGGCCGGTCTTTATCAATGCCTCTGCCAGCATTCCGTCTCCCGACTCAGCGCCATCCAATTGGTTCCACCTATAGCCAGCCCGATCAACCCCACAAGAAGCCAGCCATACTTCCACTATCACGAGAGTCATGTTCTTTCCCCTCTTTAACCCCCTCTCTTTGCACCGAAGCATTGATTCGAGGAGAAACCTAATGAGAAGAAATTAAACCCAATTTATTATCTATGTCTGAGACCCCTCAGAGAACGCCGTTTGTCCGTCCATCCGTCCTAGGTACCAATCATCCCTCCACCCGCCACGTCCCCCCTCGGCAGTGGTTTGGGTATTTCGCTTTTATGCAACATATCACTTTGCAACCCAAATAACAACAACGCCCGCAGGATCAGCGCTCGTGACCTGGAAAAAAAATATGCTGCTGTGTCCTCTCCCACGGTGTTCTTGTCCAGACAATGACCGTAAAGAGTTTCATCTGCCCGCTTCCCCTCTCCTTCCTCCCGTAGACCTCTCGTGTTCATCCGCCTCTACTTTCGAGACGCCCCAAAGTTCGTCCTCTTCTTATTTGTCCCTGACTCAGCCTCGCTGTCGTCCACGTCCTTCTTGCCCTTCTTCTGGTTCTTGCTTCCTCCGGCAGTAGTAGGCGTGGCGTTCCCGCTGTCCTTAAACGAGGCGGACATGGGGGTCGGGGCATGCGATGCAGGTGTCGAGCCCGGCGTAGCAGAGTCCTATTTCCCAATTAGCAATCCGCACGTATCGCTGGGGATCCCCCCAAGCACGAACGCCCCGGCGCGGCGCATCCGTGGGGAGCGGGCAACAAGTTCTACTCACAACGTTGTTGGGTCGGTACGAGATGGACGACCGCGAAAAGACCCGGTTCTGCTCCGGGGGACCTGTCTTCCGCCTCTGCGCAGCGGCGCCGCTCGTGCCCTTCATGTAGTTGTCGAATCCAGTGATGATGTTCCCGCTCGGCGCGCTCTCGAGGTATGCCAGCTCCTTGGAGGCGATTCCGTCTTCGACCTGGGCCTATTTCCGCTCCCCCAACGTTAGCAAATCCAGAAAGCCTCTCCGTGTCAAATTGTTGAGTCACTGGAGGAGTTTGAGGTAAGGGGAAGTAAATTTTATCGTACGAGTCTCTTTTCCAAAAGTCTCCTCTTCTCAACAAGATCGCGCACGCGCGCCTGAGATTTCTTGTATTCTGCCATGTTGACGGGCACGCTTCCACCAGAATCAGCTGCGGACTGCGCGGCACCGGCACCGCCTTGTTGTTTGTCGGCCATACAATGAAGCGCAGTCTAACGCGCCGGTAATCGATAGCCTTCGATGAGTAGATCGCGTAGATTGATGAAGATTGATGGAGGCTGATGGAGGAGCCTGTTGCTGAGAATGTCGAAACCGTCAACGGTTCGCGGGCGGGTTCGCCAGCATGGGGTGCGCAAGCTTTCCGCTGTGGGGTCTCTACCTTTCCAACACCATTAAGCACCGTCACAAGAGCCTATACTTTTCAAGTTTGGGACAAGTAGGTATTCTTTGTATTATCTGTTATTTCTATCTTTTTACTCGGGAGTTGAATATTAATTTCCTGGACCCATCAAAGAAATATTTTGCAATAGTTCTAATATACTCCCTATTGTCTGTTTGCGATACCTACGTATAGCGCTGTGAGGCTCTCCGAAAGCAAGGAGGCTCGATCAAATAAATGCATGGTTTTTCTTCGGCTTTTCTCAACTCCATGGTATCCAAACCAAACAAAAACAAAGGAAAAGGAAAATCACCAAGTAATGATAGACTGTGTAGAAGGTCTGCGGCGCTTCAGCAGCAGTTAGTAAGCCCTTTTGTAACAAATGGACAGCCACCAGCGGATGATCTCAGCTTTCATATGATATCGTGGCAAGCTCATGTAGGGAGATATTTCCGAGCTTGTTTGGGGATTCTCGGGCTTCACTCGGCCTATGCCTTTCCGGTTGTCAGTGTGGGCTAGAAGAGGGTTACAATCCCGCAACTACCTGCAGTTCAGGGGACACACACCTCGCCTGTTCCGTTCACCGTCCCCTATTTTCAAAATCGGCTCAGGAATCGATAGGTGGTGCATCTTCCGAAACATCAGCGTTTTTTCCCCGAATAGGTGAGAGTGATACGCTTGAGGAGTTGCGTGTCTGATCCGACGTTGATCGCTTTCTACCCTGCTTGCCACGCCCAGACTTCCCCTTCCCGTCCCGCGAGGAACTGCGTTGGCGACGACGGCTCTCTTTAGGTCGCCGGCCTCCCTCATCCGGGGACGCATCCCGTCCGCGGCTACCACTGTGGGAGCTTGAATGTCGCCGAGATGGCGTTGACGAGCGAGATAGTGACCGCGCACGTCTACCAGCAGACCTGCTTCTTGAAGGAGAATACCTGCGTCGTTTTGGTGAGGGAGAGTCACGGTCAGACGAGGCCGAGCGTGATCGTCTAGCTCTACCAAAACGGTCTCGCCCTCGGTCAGACTTCCTCTGTCCAGACCTTGATCTTTTCCTTGGTTGGCGACGATTTGAGCGCTCGCTTCTGCTTGAAGAGGAGCTGCGGCTACGGGAAGCCGACCTCGAGGATTCGGAACGTGTGCGACTGCGTCCCCGTCTCCATCCACGGTCTCGGCCGCGGCCGCGGTCGCGGTCGCGGTCGCCTCTTCCTCTCGGATAGTAGCTGTCGCGTCCGAACGAGTCACGCGACCCACGGAACCGATTGTCGGGAGAGCGTGAACGGTTACCGCCCCGACCGCCCCGGGCACCTCCATCAAATGCGCGCTCTCCACGCCGACCTCCCCTTGAGAAATTCGGCCGGCCACCGTCTCGACGGTCTCGATCCTTCATAGTTGCGATTTCCCGCTCTCGGCGGTCTTCGTCATCTCGTCTACGCCGTGTCTCTTCTGCTACACGATCGGCCTCAATCTTCGGACAATATCAGCACTTCAACTTTGGACCTCGATTGAACAAGTCATGGACTCTTCACAAACCTTTTCTTGCATGAGCTCAAGCTTCTTGGCCTCGAGCAATTCCTTGGGTACGCCTTGAGGGCTTGCCTGGGCACTCAGCAGCAAGTTCCAAAGCTCTTTGCAAAACGCGGCTGTGTCTTTTTCCAGGAAACCCGTAAGTTGAATTTGAAGAGCTTTGACATCCGGCTAGAAAGGCCAGATTAGCAGAAGCTCCCTCGAAAGGCTGCATTGTAGAGGCAAACGTACATGTCGAACGCCTTCAACGAGATTGAAACAAAGTTCAATGACCACATCATCTTCGTTCCCCAAAATATCCGAAATTCGGTTCGCAATCCATCTGTGAATCACATCCGTTAGAGGTGTGCAGCCATATGCCGGGGGTTGGGAGATAGCAACTTTTTAATGACCTGCACGTTCACTTTCTGCATGTCAACCTTCTGACTGAACTCGGGCGGAAACTTGGTCGACTTTAAAAGTCGAGCATCGACTCCGGAAGCCATGGCCGAGGCTTCAATCCTGCGCGTCTGACTGGGTGGTGGGCGCGTTGCGGGAGCAAATGGCGATCTGGATGGCAACCAGGGGAAGGGGATGGTGCTGGGAATTGGCTAAGATTGTATGCAAGAGGTGACGTCGAAGCTGTTGGTGAGATTGGCCCCAAATTTAGGCGGGATCGGCAGTATCAGAAAATTTAGAGACAGGAAACAGTGCTGTTGCGCTGGGGTTGGTGCACAGACCAGAAGCAGGGGCCTGTGGCACATCATTAGCTCCCCTGCCACAGGTCTGTGAGGACCTGGCAATCGGTGCAAACCGCCCGCCAACCGAGTCTGGTATCATCAGGACTCCAGAGCTTAGGTGATGTGAGCTCTTCACTGCCTCCCCTGTACCCTGCCAACTGGACCTAGAACCCCGCGGAAGCTTGGAGGCTGCTCTCCGATCAGGTACAACTAAAAGTTTCATCCAAGACGGACCTTTGTATTAATATCAATAGCTTCACCACCTGGATTTCAAATTGCTCTTCTACGCAAATTGTCTCAACCATCTCAAAAAGATTCCCGAATCACTGTATTCATTTCACCATGGAGAATGAAAACATACACGCTCCCACGGTGCCCTCGGGGCCAACAAGCTCAGGTGCCGCCAATGGTGATTCAACTCACCTAAGCTTTGCTGAACTTCAACGCAAGAAGGATGAGGTAGAAACCGAGCTCAAAGCCCTCGGAAGTGTTTTGGACTCGGTAAATGACGAAGTCCTCCCCCTCAATGCCGCTTTCAAACTAACCGGTTGCGAAGCACAACGTCAATATGGAAACGCCACTGCTCACAAGGGACGGGTTTCCTCGTGCAGATTTAGACGTCGCCCAGAGTAGGCTCTACAATTTACTGTTCCAGATTCATATCGGGGAATGGAATGACTAACAACGGGCTGTGACAGTCCGGACAACACGATCTCGGATCATTCGTCTTCGGAATGACTACAAGAGCCTAATGACCACTATCGAGAAGTATCTACATGCGCACTTCGCCAATCTTGACGAAGACGCAGTCGTAGAGGTGCCTGAGCAAACCACACATTCTATCCTGCCGGATTCAGAACCCGCTGTCCTTGAAGAGGCGTTTGCAAAGGTCAACACAGTTGCCCCCAACAGTCCCGCCGATGCTGCTGGGCTGAAACCTGGTGATGAAATCCGGACATTCGGCTATGTAAATCACACCAACCACGACAGCCTCAAGAAGGTGGGAGAGTGTGTTCAGAGTAATGAAGGTGTACGTCTGGTCCCGCTGGTATTTCCTTGCCACTTTGCCCGTGCTCGACTGACTTTTGCCAAAGGCCAACATCTTCATTCGAGTTTCCCGTGCCACGGCCGATGGGTCCGCGCGCCAGGAACTTCGCCTCACGCTCAATCCCAGGAGGGATTGGGGTGGCCGAGGATTGTTAGGCTGTCACATCATACCCATCTAGAGAGAGCTATCCGAGCCTTGACAGACTGATAATGAAAGTAATGACAGTATCGGAACTGCCACATCACGCGCGTTCCCTCACGTAGCAATTCATCCCTCGTGCAGCTTGTTCATTGGTTCTTACATACACAAGTGCAAGTCAGGCTTTGCCAAGTCGAGTGTTCTGCGAGCCAGAGTGACAAAGCAATGTCTAATCAAAACCCCGTAGCATCAATTAATCGTGGCAGAATTCCACGACAAGAACATCGGACCGAATTACCCTTTTTTGGATGGTTCGTGGTGCTCCGGCAAGGTGGAAAGCCAGCTTCGAGTCTGCTCTGCCAGCATTGGGTAGGTATTGCTAGCATATCCAATCTTTATTTGTAATACAATACAATTTAGAAAGAGAATTGGTGCCCATATACTACAATAATACTAGTGCGATCTAAAAGTGGCAGAGCTGTATTTATATTGGTGAGTCAAACAGGTAAGAGGTAGGTAGGCACCCATTGCCTGCCTAAGAAATTTCGTTCAATTGGGCAGCTGTGGTACGATTCGCGAGGTCCGTGAGGTATCATTTCAGCACAAGTGGCAAGCCAGGACCCTGCAGCACACCAGGAGCCTGACTTTGAATCAGGCTAGCTAGAGCACTTACAGACTGGTTCGGCGGCCACGGTGCTCCGCAGAGGCAACTGGAACAATTGCAATGGTTGAGCCAGTGACGTTATCTCCCCCAGTGGCGGGTCTCTGGGTCTCTAGGCAACCTGCTGTTAGGCTCCCAGGTGTATTCTAGCGATTTGATGCCTACCTGTAATATCACGTGCAGCCTCCCACCCCTGGCCGACTGAATTTTTCGCCTAAGGGCTTCCATATCTGGCCAGCCCAAGATTCCCCGCCAAAACATCACATCAAGACCACCCGACCTGCGATTCTCATTCTCTCCCCAGTGCACTCGCCAAGCTGCGACTTTTCTTCCAGGTACGCCCAACAATACCACCGCCCTCCCCGAACAAGGTCCGGCCTTTCACCCGGATCTATATAATCCTCTCGATTCCGGCCGCTTGCTCTCTCTTCCCTCTTTTACGTTTTAATTAGATTGCAGTCGATCGCTGACTTCTCAATCCACTTCCTAGCCACCCCGCTTGTTTACACCTCTTGACCCAGATTGTCACCACACCTCACAACCATCCAAAATGGCTGAGCAACAGGTTCCTACCTTCAAGCTTGTCCTTGTCGGTGATGGTGGTACCGGAAAGGTATGAAAATTCTCGAGAAAGTCTTGGTGAGGCGCGTACAGGTTCGCTGCGCAGCTTCGTCGAATACCCCGCCATCCTGGAGTTTTTTTCCTCCCAGTCTGTGTGACATCACATCGCTAACCATTATCTACATATAGACCACCTTCGTCAAGCGCCACTTGACTGGTGAATTCGAGAAGAAGTACATGGCCACTCTTGGTGTCGAGGTTCACCCTCTTGGCTTCAGCACCGTACGTCTTCAATTTCATCGCCCCACTACCGACCGCTCTTGATGCTAACCACGAGAGCAGAACTTTGGCAACATCCAGTTCGATGTCTGGGATACCGCCGGTCAGGAGAAGTTCGGTGGCCTCCGTGACGGTTACTATATCAACGGCCAGTGCGGTATCATCATGTTCGATGTCACCTCCCGTATCACCTACAAGAACGTTCCCAACTGGCACCGTATGTATTTCCCTATCCGATGAAGCTCCTGTCAACCACCTGGATGCAGCCGATTTTCTGACACAAATCACCAGGTGATCTCGTCCGTGTCTGCGAGGGTATCCCCATCGTTCTCTGCGGTAACAAGGTCGATGTGAAGGAGCGCAAGGTCAAGGCCAAGACCATCACCTTCCACCGCAAGAAGAACCTCCAGTACTACGACATCTCCGCCAAGTCCAACTACAACTTCGAGAAGCCTTTCCTCTGGCTCGCCCGCAAGCTCGTTGGCAACCCTGCCCTGGTACGCCTTGCTCTTCCTACTGTTCCTACTGGCCACTCTTGGTCCATGTGTGGAAATTCCTCCTTTGTAGCGCAATACTAACATCGATACCAGGAGTTCGTTGCTTCCCCTGCCCTTGCTCCTCCCACCGCCCAGGTCGATGAGGGTCTTCTCGCCCAGTACGAGCAAGAGATGAGGACCGCTGCCCAGCAGCCTCTGCCTGATGAGAACTCTGATGACGACCTGTAAAGGATGACCAAAAACGAACGTTGAAGGCGATTACTTCGCCAAGTGTTAGATGACTGAGATGCATTATGGGACTGGGCCAGCTTCAGTTCTCACGGGAAGTCTATTTGCACCCGGAATGACCATTTACGACATTGGGAGGAAAGTTCTTTGAGGGGTTCAGGAGTGTTGACCAGAGACGGCGACCTAAGGAGTGTCCGTCGCCCTTTCTTAGGGTAGATTTAAGATGATTCTGCTGAAGGCGGTATCGTCCATTTTAGCTAGACTTAACACGCATATAAATATGATGTTCAGACCTGCTTTGCGAGGTCATTATAATACACAGCCTTCCGGTCATGGGAGACCACACTGTTTTGCCCTTTTGAGTTGCGAACAAGATCACACAAAGATAGTGCCATTTTCGTCCCTTATCCATTTGCGACCATGTCGTCTTGCTCATACCATTCAGTACTTGATAGATTCCATCAGACACCGGCTGCCTGACGACATATTATTGAGTGAACCCAGATTGCTCAGGCTCTGATGCCGAATACCGCGGCCTACCCTAGACTTTGTCAACCATCAGTGATAACCTCGACTAGACTACTACCTAGATATTAAACTCATTCGTGTGTTTCCTTGCTGTGGCCATTATTAATTGACTGGGCATATTTTGTAGTGATACCATTGTTTAGGTAATCAAAGAAGTCTGATATATCCGATGGATTTTATATGAATACACCTACAAGTTTTATTGG